GGAATGAACACCAGTGGGGCTGCTCGGCCCGTGACTACCTGCTTTTAGACACAACAGCATGCAGGGGTGTAGTGTTATGGTAGTTTTGAGAAGCAGCGTTGCAGTCATGTGTCTTCGGAATTACTTTGAATAGATTTCAGTCCTAGACCGTTGCATTTCTGTAGCACAGAAATGACACACTAAGGTGTAAGCAATTCTCCCGCTAACAGACATGCACACGCACATATCTTACCAAAAACAGTCTGTGCAGCTGGTTAATTGGTTCTTCATTATCACATATAATAGCTGGGATAAAAAGCTCAGATTTCTCACGATGGTGGGGTTTTGTGCCATTGAATATAGTAAAAGTTAATGGCACTTATAGAATGAAAAAAATTAAGTATGGAACTATTAATTTACATTGTAGTTTTTCAGTGACCCACTAAAGCCAGATGGCAAAACTAGTTGGAATTACTAAAAGTATTTCCTTGCTAAACAGATGAATACAAGGTGTCTGTTTAGAACACAAAGACCTTCTGCCTCAATAACTTTATCCCTGAACAAGTGATGCTAAATATTTCAGCTCTTACGCCAAAAGATAACAAACATCTGGAATGGGATGTCTGGATGAACAAGAACTTTTCAGCTCCCGTGATGATCTAAAGCGTTGCAAACAGTTCTCGTTTGCTTCATAAGATTTCCAGTAGGGGCAGAAGCAACTGGATTGATGACATCCGCCCATGTCCAGTGCATCAACTTTGTGAGTAGTTTTGTTAAACCCTAAGTCAAACAACACTTACTTAGTGTTTGAATTTTAACTGCTGGCTGATCTTAGCTTAAAAAGACAACTGAGCATTCAGCGCATGTATATGTACTAGAGATACTATATTATAAGAAAAACTCATTATTAGCTTGCTGTACTGGCAGTTACCTCACTCCAAAGCAAAAGTATACGCTATGGCACAAGAAAAGATAATGGAGCTATAAATTGCTGTTGGCTTCATTCATATGAATGAAGTTGCAAATTATTACTGAATGAAGTGCAGAAGTAAAATGTAGGAAGCAGGGTCCACAGTGAGCATAAATTAGCATAATGCCATTGAGTAGAAAGTCAGATGCAATGCACAGAGACAAGGCAAAGGAGCTAAACATACATGACGTGGCCTAAGACTCTTCTATAGTGCTTATATATTTATATATCTCTGTATTCCAAAACATGGTTTGATAGGGAATGCTTTTTCTTTACTGCAGGTGCAGACCATTTCAGAATTTGTCTATTTCAGTTTAACGGTTGAAGAAAATCTTATATAATTTCCTAGATATTATCATACTCTTCATTAGAGAAAATATGTGGTCTCCATTCCTGGACTCTCATGTAGGAATAACCAGTGCAAATTTGGATTTTCTCCCAGACAGCTGTTGCAGCAGGTAAATATATAATGATTCTGATTTAAATTCCTTAATTTTGGTGCCTTTTCTCCAGAAATCCATTTATATTACTTACTTCCTCTCTCTGGCAGGCATGTGGCATTACTAAAGAAGCATACCTATTTCTCAGCCTTCTCTTATTGGAGTGTCTTGTGTCTTATAGAGACTTTGAGGTGTTGTGGCCAGTGATGCTAAATGGCCTGGCACCTGTGTCTCTACTTTTTCTGTCCCTTCCTTTCCTGATTTAATGTCCATACTAAGACTGTTGTCTGACAGATCAGGTAGACTTTCAGACACCCATCTGGCAATCCAGGGTATAACATTTCTGCTCTGGAAGAACAGAAAATGCAAATGTAACATTTACAGCTTTACCTCTTTTGGTGATAGTATAGAAATGTAATCTTCATATATAAGTCTTGCTTTTTCTTCAATAACTTTCTTGTTCTGTTCCTTCTTTAAATCTTCACATGCAAGCCAGAAAAGCAGGTTCTCCTCACTATACTCTGTTCGAAGAAACTCTCTGAAAAGGTTCCTTCCAGCTGGTGTTTTCATCATCTTGTCAAAATTCTGAGCCCAAGACAAAATTTCATCTGCAGTAGGGTTTTGGCTGCAAAAGCAAAGTATCATTACAAATACGGTTCTATTTTTGCAACAGTGTTTTCATACATTCGTCCAAAAATTCTCCTTTCAACTGCACTTCAGTCCAGAGTGAAAACTGGAAGCAACAAGGCTTCAGCAGTGACAGGGGAATTTTGTTCACTCTTCACTTGTGCATTCATTATCTCAATAGCCCACTAAATGTGTTTAATGTTACGAGACATGCACTTGGCTTTCTACAAGTTTTCTACTAGTGTTGTTAGCCATCAGACTCAAAGACAAAATCCCACAACAGCATTGAATTCCTGCCTCTGCAGTTAAAGGAGATGTGATTTCAGGGACCTAGCAATACTGTCTTTCATGAGGGGTTTAGATGACACTTGATGTCCCTGCCTGCTTCTGATGGTGTTTGGCCAGTCACTGTCTGCCACAAGATTTGGTTCAGGAAGGACAAGAAACACAAAAGGCTCTTGGCAGCCAAGAGCATACTAATGAGGCCCAACAAAATAGTAATTCAGAGAGCTTTTAAATTAGCGTATTTCTCTGTGCTGGTACCTAAGGGTTGCTAAGCTTCCCTCTGTTTGGTGCTATTGACCTGAATGATGATCTATTGGCACAAGATGTGATGGATGCTGCTGGCAAGACTGGAGAGAGAAGAAATGGGAAAAAGTCCTTATTCCCATTTTCTGAAGGAAACTATTCGTGGCTTGTAATGGTGGACGCGCTGGATAAGTGATCAGAAGACTAACTTGCGGCACTAATCCATTAATGTACCAATGAATAGTTTAAGAAGGTAATACTCCAAGTTACTTAGAACAATTAAATATGGTTTCAAACTTAATTCTGAGCGCTCACCTGCCCCTTCCTGATAGGATCCAACACAAGAGCTTTACTAGCTGTTGCTTATAGCTTCTGTGTAATCATGTTGCACAATAAGTGACATTTGTCTATATGGTTTGTCTTCAAGTCCATTTATCGACTCCTACTCTGCATACAAGGCAGACTGGATGATGGGAAGGTATTTGTGATAGCTTTTCGGCAGTCCAAAAGATTAATAAATGAGTAAGTGTTTAACATTTAAACTATCCAGCAAAATAATTGTAACCTGAACCAAAAAGTATAAATATACAGATTTGAAGGTGAAAAGTCCTCTCTCTGAGGAGAGTGAAAAGAACCTGCTGAGGTGGATGGAGCTGACAAGCAACCTGTGCTCCCTCATCTGTTGGGAAACCCTCTTCACTACAGTATTTTGTGGAAATTTCTGACGTTGTCACCTCATAAATGACCATGAGTAGCAATGAAGACAATGAGTTGTTTGGGTTGCTTTTACTATCAATCATATCCCCCAGAGTTAAGTTTTAATTTACTTTTTACGGGATTAGAGAACTCAAGGCCACTGATAGGTTAGCATTTTTCCCAACACAATAAACATGGGCCCAAGCTTTAGACAGAAATAGAAGCGCAGACTTTCAGTGCATATTAGCCTATTTTTCAAGGTATGTGTTTCCTTGGTTAATTCCAGTGAAACCATAGTCCAAGCTGTTTTATGAAAAGTAGCCCTGTTAAAAATCTGACTGTGAAGTATACTTGTGCCTGTTAGTTTTTCTTCTTGTCTGGACAAAGAGAAGAAAATGATCCCACAGGTAGCAGAGGCTTCCTATAGAGACCCACAGGTCTATGGAACCATCCATGCACCTCCCATTCCTCCCCACAGTTCTTCCCCACAAATAAGAAACTGTAAGTAAGCCTGACTTATGAATGTCTCTGCTGGCATTTCATTGTCAGGACAGATTTTGCTTCCTTTTGTATAGAATTTTTTGGAGGAAAAGTAATTAAAAGGATATTCCCAAACCATAAAAAACAAGGCAATTCTGATATTAATTACAGTTTGACCAACTTACCATTCTTCTATGACTTGGATACTCTCCATTTTGGTCGTATGTGTTGGCCTTCCTGCATTGTCTCCTCTATCTTCATTCCTAACAGTGAGGCTGCAATGTAGTACAACACTTTATTTTGTCTAGAGAAAGTTAATTTAAAACAACAATAGTAATGCAAATTTTTAAAAGACATAAACCTATGTAAAGTGTCATTTTTCACTCTTGCCTCTAAAATTTTGGAGAGAAATTTTTGATAACGACTTTTCCCCTTAATTCTGACGAATATTAATTAACAGTTGCTATTAGCATGTGTAATTTTTTACAAGCTCACAGTTTATCCACTGAAAGATGGACACAAACTTAGAGGTCACTTTCGGAGTGATTTCACTTAGTAAATTGAGAATATTAGTAACAGTAAGGGTAGGGGGGATAAGAATATCTGAATTGGACACTGATGAGGCTTTGGTGCCCCACCAGTTCTGGATGGTTGTTCACTTTTCATGAACATTCCCTTTTTTCTCTCCAGGATGCGGTGGCAGTAGATGGCTCAGATACAGAACATAGCATGTGGCAGCTCCTTGTGATTTCCTCCTCTGACCTAAATTTGTTTTTCATTCCAAAAAGTAAAACTTACTGGCCTCTCAACAGAAAGGCATCCATTACCCTCATATTACCACAAGCAAGGAAAAGAAAGACTTCCTTTATATAAGGATGTTTGAATTTTTTTTTTCTTCTTTTTTAAGCTGGTAACTAGCATCACTTTTCTGTAAATATCTTTTTAATCAGATTTGCTTTAGTGGTAGCGACTTCCTCTGTGTGTGCTCTCTATGAATGTTCTGGAACAGAACATATTGCCAGCAAAACCACAATTCCTGATAACTACTGAAATAAAGCATGTTTTGAATGGCATTAGCATTCATATAGGAAACCTGGTTCCAATAATTAAGCTTAAGAAGTGGAATGTAGTAAGGAGATGGAGATTTCCCTTTATCAGGTGTTCCCTACATGTCCAACTGAGAGAAAACAAACAACCAAGCAAAAAATCTCCCCTCCCAATCCCAAGAGAGCTCATATTTTGAATATTGAGTATTCACCATACAATGATGCTCTCAGTCATCCTAAGTGGCGATATACAAAAATATGTTGGTAGCATAAAGATTCTCCCTCCCCCACTAATTTGAATAATTTCTGCTCCAGCTCTAAGAAGAAATCCCATCTTTGAGACATTTTTAGCACAAATAACCTCTCTTTCTAGCCCCTCTGCATTTATGAGTTTCTTCAACATTTTTTTCAAGCATTTGGCAGATTTAATAGGTGATCTCAAATATTCTTCTGATAACTGGAAGTTTAAGCTCCCAGGTAAAGCAGAGCACATATTAAGACTTAAACATTACAAAGACGTACACTTTCAAACGAAGCTGTTTGATACTGGTTGCTCCTTCACTTACCTGCCAAGACCTTAGTTCAGGCCCTTGGTCCTGCTTCCCCTGTTACAGCGTAGGAATGCAGCTCCAGTGCTGCTAAGGTGTTAGGGTGTCATCAACTGCTGCAGGAGAAACAACACATCCTGAACTCTGGGGTTGGCAGGTAAAAAGCCTTTCCGTCTCCTCTGACCTGTTGCTCATCAGTCTATAGAGGGAGCACCCAGGAAAGCCAATGGGAGTTCCGTATACAGGAGGAGAAAAAAAAGGGACCATCCACTTTCTGTCTTGTAATCTTTAAGTCCACACATGTAACTGCTTAGGGTCACCTTGCATCTGGCCGGACCACAAAGTTGGGGTGAGGGAGAAGCAGGGAAGGCACAAAGCTTCTCTCTCTCCCTCCTTCCCTCCCTCCTTTGCAGTCCGTAGGTAGAGCAGCATTTGTCTTCTCTGCTGGGTGCAGAGAACTGAGTGTCCTTTGGTTCCATGGAAGAGTAACACCATGGAAGGAGGAAACAGCTTGTGTAGGTTGGGAATGTAACAGGGTGTTCACCCGAATCCATCCAAAAGAGAATGAAGCTGCCTGTTTTCTTTCCTCCATCATGTGAGCAGCAGCTAAGCTGTACTAAGATAATTTACTTGTCAGGCAGTAGACATCCAAGATTTGGATGCAGAGTCTTACTGGAAGTAGAAGGTGACTCATCTGAAAGCGGTTAATCTACACTGCTAATTTAATTTGATGTCTGGGATCAAATACTGTTTATTTTGCTCTTGCAAAATCTCTGCTAAACTTAGGAAAACCAACATGGGCTCATGAAGGTAGAGTACAAGAGGTGAGTGGTGAGTAAGAAAGAGAAATAGGGAAATGGACAAGAAAGCCATGTTGACTTCATTGCACTTTTTTTATCAAAGCAGTAACGGATAGGCCCTATGCATTTTGATTTTCTACAAGACTACACCTCAGTAAAAAGTTCAGATGGTGGGCCTAGAATGTAGCATGCAGTTTTCTGGTATCTATACCAGAGTAACAATGCGAGGTACACACTTGGCCCTAATTCCTTCATCTCACCATTCATAGCTGGATTTCAATGGCTGAAGTTAGTCAGAGTTGCAAAACAGGGCAGACTCTAAAGAAAGCAGTGTTATATTTGGTTGGAATAATTTCTCAAGTTTGGGTATTGTATTTAAAACTGTGCTAAATTTATAATACCTCTTGGCCTAAATTCTGCATTATGTTTCCAGTGACAGACACTAGCACTACATTTCAACTTTTATTTATCTACATCTGTCAAGGCCAGAGTTCCATCGGATACATTACTTTTGATATGTTTTTCCTGTGAAAGAAACCATAATTTTTATACAGAAGTACATTCAATTCAGACATGTTCTGTTTTCACTCAAGGAACTGGTTCACGTTCGCTTAGAAAAAAAATTAAATATTTACACATTTGTGACTGCAAAGCTGATTTGAAAGCAGCCTTTAAATAACTCTGATCACAATAACAGATTGCTACGTTTTACCTCAAAATGACAACACTGCATTGCTATTTGCTATGTTGCTATCTTCAGTTGAAAATACCCTATCTGTTTACATTTCTCTGTGGAATTCAAGCAGTCCTCAGCAGCAAAGGCACCCTGCATACCTGAAGCTGGTGTCCTTGATACATTATTCCATCATGGAAGCTAGTTGATTACGTCAGAACAATTATGCTGCATAGTGTAAAACTAAGCAGAGTAAAAGTAACAGGATAAAGAGTAACAAAATGATCTTACTTAGTTAAGGTTTTAAGAAGAGGAAATTGCTGATATGCCTTATCAAAAAGTAGTTAAATGAAAGGGAGGTGTTCTAGAGAGACATCTGATGTAAATTAACATATATGGTGCCATTATTTTTTATTAGTTGGAGTACATCCAGCAGATCTCTTTAAAATTTAGAGACATAAATTACCCATGATAAAGGCACAACAAAATTTTGGGGTGTCTAAAGGCAGAGTTTAAGTGGAAAGCACAAGCACTGGTTTGTTTTCTGTTCCTATGGAAGGTTTGTTCTGCCCACATTTATGCTGATTTTATTGCTCTGGAGAGTATGGTAAAAAGTACTTCAGTAAACGCAAGTGGCCTGAGCTCAATGCACCTTTCAAATATTTCTTGGGTTCCTGACTTCTACAAAAACTATAGTTTTTTTAACTACTGCAACAGTATTATTATGAGTAATATCTGTTAGGAGTGAGTGCATTTCTGTTTTACAACTTCACAGACTTTATAAGTAAAAATGTTAATGACCAGGGACTACTTGAAGAAGTATACAAATTGAACAAATTACCACATATAAGGTTAAACTGGTCCAGGTTCCTAGCTGATGTGTTTTTGGAGGAACTACTGGGATTCAGAAAACCAATCTTTATTTATTTAGCTACTATTATTCAGCTGTTAATATTCATGTTCAGCACTTAAATAATTGTGTTGAGTAATTACTTAGCTAAATCAGTATTGCAGGCCACTGGTGCATGGTAAGGTAAAAAAGCCAAGCTAATTGGATAAAATCATCAAGAGAGTTGGACTACTTTAAGAGCAAAAATCTAACTGACTCTTCCTCCAGGTGTTTTGAGCCGGTGGTTTTAGCCTTTTTTTTAAAGTTGTTTAGCATCCCTACTGCTGCACTTCTACTGCCATTAAGAAACTGAAAATCATTTAGAGCTTGGACCTGATCTTTCATTCTCTGTATATCCAGTAAACAAAGAGTCTTTAGTTGCTTCCCAAGGGCCAGATTCTTATGTACCACTAGTCTAAACCTGGTGAATCAGTGAAATTACTGTTATCACAATGGCAAAAAAACTATGCCATTGTGACAGGTGATAAGATTAATATTCTGCCCATGCATGGCTAACACCAGTTACTATTCACTCAGGTATTTTCTCAGGTATGTGCATCGTATGCAGTATATCATCACAGTATTTTGCAATTATGTCTGGTATGGAAGACCATGTGACAATTAAAGCCTCTTGCCTTAGTGGTGTTTTTTGTGCTGCCATGAAGATAAGGAGTAGAAATTAAACGGGGACACTGTGAACTAGTTGGTAGGCTATTGGGTTGCCATTCAGGAGATCTGTGCTCAATTCCTACTTCTTGGCTGAAGTTTGTAGACGCTAGGCTCTGCAGGGCAACGATTACATTGTAGGCTGAACCACGTATGTCACACAGTAGGGTCACGAGCCTTCTAGCCACCACTGCAACAGAAAACCCTTCCTTATTCCAGCCCAAAGGCCACATGAAGTCAGTTGCACATACATAATCTAAAGGCAGAATTTGGTTTTCAGATGAAAATCAATATTCAGTTAAGATCCTCTGGATAACAGATGTTCTGACATGTTTCTTTCACTGACCTACCCTTTGAAAGAGCGTATCTCACTGGCACCACTCTTCACTCTATCCTACTCCTAGGAATTTTTATTATTATCAGATCAAGGGACAAAAGAAGGATTTTTTTGATGCTTGAGTCCAGCTTCCAGTGCAAGCGAGCTACAGGCAGGACTGCCATAACTTAAACAATGGTGATTTAGTAGATGTAGATTAAGTGGAGGCTTTCTTAAAAAACCACAAGTCCCTCCCCCAAAAAAGCCACAAGAGATCAATATTGAATTGTGATTTTAAAATTCCACTGGTAGATGATGTAAAATGTCCATTCACCTA